TAATGTTTGTTATAATCATGTCTTGTGATTATTTGACAGGAGTTTTACTTTTAAAGTGTAAGTGTATTTAATTTAGTTATAATGTAAATTCAATAAAAATTAAACAGATTTAGAATAATAATCATTTTGATCCATACATTGGTAATGTCTGACTGGGCCTCGTGTCCCTTTATGTTCAATACATTGGACCACGAGGTCAAAAAGGTTAAGAATCCCTGGTATAGAATACAGGATTATGGTCACCAGCGCACTCTGGCATGGCACTAGAGAGAGATGTAACAGTGGTTCCCAAAGTTGGGGTCGGGACCCSACTGTGGCCCCTGAAACATCAAAGATGGGGTCTTGAAAGGATTTTCAGAATAAATTACTTTTAAAAATTACTACTAACAACATTTTATTGCCTTTAGTTGTTACAAAAGTGTGAATTTATTGTACTTAAAAATGGATGAAATTACCATAATGCATATTGCTACTATACCCTTGTTTATTTGACAGGTAACTATGTTTATCACCCAAAAGTAGCTGGCACCACAGGTTTCTGCTGCTATTATTTTGTAGGTCAAAAAGAGAAAAGTTTGAAAACACTGACCCATACTGTTTATTTTAATAAATAATAACAAGAAATAMGATTTTCTTTCTACTCGTATATTCCGATACCATTACTAGTATTGGTATCTGAGTATCAGGGCATTTGTACTTATAAAATGTTGGTATCAGGACACCACTAACACTTTTTTACTTAGTCATTGATGATGCAGTCTGTAATAAATTGCAGGTGCAAAACCTGATGGATCATATTTGTGCATTTCATTTAAATAATCTCTCCAAATTACACACTCTAAAAAAAATTAATGTCCATAAATACATTTGCAATAAGCACAGGTGCTAAGATCACTGCCTACATGTTTCAGGTGTAAACGCTGTCACGACTGATTAATAATTTACAGTCAAAGGTTCGTGTTAGAATTCACCTGACACTAGCTACAAGTGTTAATAAACACAGGCCTTTGACACCACTCTTTTAACATTTGGTATGTTGTCTTATTTATTGATTGGTCTTATTATGTTTTGCTTCAGAGAGAGCAGCCTCACTTCCAGAGTTGACCCCGGCACAAAGAAACAAACTCCGTCATCTTTCGATTATTAGCTTGGCTTCCAACCTCAAGGTACATGTTCATTACATTTCTTTTTCAGTGTTAACATAAAGTGCAGCTAAACTATAATTTTGTATTGATTTTTGTACCCTCCCTCTCTCTTTCTTCTCAGTGGCTGGCAGAACATAAATTTTCTGCAGCCACCACACTGCTGCAGGCTTTATACAAATCCAGCTCCTATATCACTGAAATATTGACAGCCCTGCTTTTAAATACGACCTCACTATTTTATTCTGACTCGCAGTCAGTTTCTTTAAAGTTCACGAGATTGCAAGTGATTGTAAGCTTGGGGCTGTATTTAAATGAACTGAATTTGAAGCAAAACCAGTCTACGAGCCTCAAATTTCCTGAGAAAATTATCATTAATTTATATTTCATATTCACTCTTTTACAACACAAGGAACTGTTTTATTTCTTGAATCCGAGCTCTTTGCATGTCTAGCTACACCACACCTTTCCTTATGCCCTTTTCTTTCTCTGCTCCTGTTGAATAATTGATTCATTATCCTCACTAATACTGTCCTTTTCCCCTTTTTGCTTTATCTCTCCTCCCATTAACATCACTCCTTTCACTCCTGGTCCCTGTTTTGTGTCACTGCTTTCCCCTGTCTGTGGCCTTGAACTCTCTAATTGCCCAGTTATGGATTTGTTACCTTTCAGACTTCTTTCACGTTTCTATAGCAGCAACATTTAAACAAATGGTCATTGTCCCTAAGCTCATTCAGTTGTAATCAAATGCACCGTCTAGACTTGAAAATATTAGAAATGAAATTGTTTTATGTCTTTCTTTATTTTCTACAGTGCCTTCCTTATTCGCTGCTTCTTCAGCAGCTCGAGCTAAAGAATGTGCGAGAACTGGAGGACCTGTTGATCGAGGCTGTTTACTGTGACATCATCCAGGGCAAACTGGACCAGAGGAACCAGCAGGTGGAGGTGGACTGCAGCGTAGGTCGTGACCTCGGCCCCAACGAGCTTCCAAACATAATCAACACGCTTCAGGAGTGGTGCGTATCACCTGTTCATCTGTATGCAGGCTTTATGCCAGTTTTCTAACCGATAGTCTACCTCCACCTTCATCACTGGCCCTCAGGTGTACGGGGTGCGAGGCAGTCCTGTGTGGGATCGAGGAGCAGGTTTCCAGGGCAAACCAGTACAGAGAGAACCAACTAAAGGTCAAAGTCCAAGTGGAAACTGAGGTTGGTTTTTCATCACTTTAGTTTGAATTTTAGTTTTTAGTTTTTTCTGGTTATTTCAGGTGCATATACAGGTGCAGTTCAGAATCAGAATATTGTGAAAAAGTTTACATTTTCTTTTTGGTCAATCATTTCAGASCAGTTACATCGAACCGAGGATTAAATCCCAAAATAAAGTGGTGTGTGGAGAAATGGGCAGTTATATTGCACTTGTTAGTACGTTTGCCACAATTCTATTTTGTCAAAATATAATAAATGCATACCTCATCTATCTATGGGTCGTTTAAATAAAATATCTGAAATATGATTTTAAAATTTCTTAAGCTCTTTTTTTTTATTAGCAACAATGTCAAAAACAAGATTTTGAGCAAGTCAGATATTTGTAATTTTCTCTGTGAGTTGGCAATTAGTTTTTTTCTTACCAGCTGGTATCCTCTTTAAAATGATACACAAATTATTCATTCTAGTAACCTAAAAATTCAGACAAAATATCAATGTGTTATGATTAGGAAGACAAATCAAAGATATCTCCAGAAATGCTCGTTATCAGGATGATCCAGGKATCAAAAGGCAGCTTAAAAAGCCAGATTTCTAAAGATGTGTTGATGTCATTTTGACCAAATTTGACATGATGGGTACCCATATAAATATATACATATATTACATACATTCATTCCACATAGTTAAATATTTCAAGACTTTAAAATAAATGCTCTGTGACAAAACAAGTTTATTATATTTCTCTTTTTATCCTAAAATAACATGTATTATGCCAGATTTCCTTATTTTTTAATATGTTTTCTTGTCCATCTGCAACTAAATGTATTAATTTATAGCAGGGGTGTCAATCTCAGTTAMACAAGGGGGCCAAAATTCAAAACTTGTTCTAAGCCAGGGATGGGCATTTCTGATCCTCCAGGGCTGCAGCCCTGCATGTTTTACATGYCTCTGCTCCTCCACACCTGATTTGAATGAATGGGTGATTATSARTATTCCAGACTTGGATGAGGTAATTCAATGATTGAATCAGGTGTGTTGGAGCAGGGATTGCCAAACCCTGGTCTAAGCTGAGGGCCAATATTTGTCTGTATTTATTGAAGGAATGTTTTCCAAATTATCTTTTTTTATCTAGCATTTAAATTTAGAACATATTTAGCAATATTTTTAAGCCTTGCTATCCGTCAACAACTTTCCATTTATTTCTTGGGTACATTTTTATCACAGCCCAGAAAATCAGTAAAAAAAAAGAAAACCCTCATTAAAAATCCAATTGTTTGATGTTAAAATAGATTAGATAAAATAGAAAGTAGATTCTCTTTTACTCTTTCCACACTAAAATCTTAGATTACTGAAAAATTCTAACTTARTTTTCTTGGTTTGAAAGCTGTGACAAAAAGAAAAACCATAAAACGTATTACCTTTGAGGCCAGATGAAATGTTAACAAGGGCCAGATATGGCCCGCGGGCCTTGAGTCTGATAAGTGTGATTTATAGTAAATAAATAAATAAATGATAGTAAAAAGTTATGTTGTTTTTGTTCTGGTTTTGCTGTAAAGTTAATGAATTGTAGACATAATTCAGTTTAGTTTTTAAAACACCAGTTCACAATAAAAGTCATCTAAGGTCACAAAATGAAGAAAAAAGTCCAAATCATAATCCAGTTCACATCCAGATTCATTCCTAATACAGTATATTCACATGCAGTAGATTATGAATGAGTGGATACTCTATTCATCCCTGAGAAAAGTAATTATTTAAATGTAATAATTAGTATTTTAAAACCAACAGATTGCATCGAATCCTCACTTCGCCACAATCCCCCACAGTTCATTTTCTGTTATTTCCTGATGCCAACACAGCAGGCAGGCGGCCAGCTGCTGTCAGTCAACACAAACGCTGACGTGTCGCTCTGTTATTAGCATTAGTTCCACATTTAACAGTAAATTCAGTGGTGGTGTTTGATTGATTGCTACACTTGTCTTCTGTTAGACAAATCCATCAGGACAGCTTCTTCTGTTCTGTATCATAACTGCAAGCAATCAGATCAGCCTGAATTCCCTCTTTTRTTTGGTGCTCGTCTGCATATATTCAGTAATGTTGCCTCAGTGACCCACACCAGTGCTGTAAAGGGTTACACATAAGTTAGTTGCCAGGAAAGTCATCTAAATGAACAGTTCTTTACCTTGGATTTTGTCTGGCTGTGGAGAACAAATGTAGCCATTTTTGAAGTAAAGTTGGTGATTAGAGCTCAAACTTGGGCTCTGAGCACTCCGACTCCTGCTGAAGTACAGTTATTGTTTTATTTTAGCCATAAAAGTTGTTCTTTCTTTTTCTTTCTGATTTAAAGGACAAAGTTGAGGGCTTCTCCTTAAATAGGCTGGCTGTGCTCCTTTAGATCAAGATGAAAAGGGTTAACTCGTTTCTCATATTGGTTGTTTTAGCAAAGTTCTTTTATGAGGCAGATTTTACAGAGTTCATCTTATCTAGGCGCTTGCTTTCTTGTCAGTTCATAAAATCCCAAGTGTGCCCTAAAGTCTGTTTTGAAAACTGTTTGTCATCCCTCCCTGCTTTCCTTCACCAGATCTTAGATATTACAGTGTCATTAACGTAACATTGCACCCAGAATTTAATACAGGAGCACTCTGTAAAGAAACATTTTTAGAGTCTTACTCCATTTGACAAAACATAATGTGCGTTCTGCTTCATTGTTTCTGTTTAAGGCCAGAAAGTCGACTGCAAACTTACATTTTATGTTTCCTTCATATATTAATGCAGAGTCATTTGCAGTGTTTTGTTTTAAATCATAAATTTGAGAACTTCGCACATCTCTGAAAACATCCTGAACCGATTGTCTGCTAAAACCACTTTAATGAGCTGCTATGAGGGTGAGCTTTAGCTGATACATGCTAAAAACAATAATTCTCAGATTATTCCTGTTCATGTTAGTGATGTGAATGCTGTCTCTGATTGGACCACAAACACGTGATACATATGAAAATGTTGTTTTCCTTCTTTTATTCTTCTTTTATCTTTTATGTTTTATGTAGCATTTAGAACACGCATAACCCAACAAATAAAGAAAAAATATAACATTTAGAAAGACTCATAACTTTATATACTTTACTCTCTATCAACAACTGTTACATTTATAATATGTTAGAGATGCTTTTCAACCCAACCCATAAAATCTGTAAAAAAGATAAATTCTCACTATAAATCCAATTATTTGCATTTGAGATAAGAAGCAAATTCAGAACAAGATAATTAAAGTTGATTCCCTGTTGCGCTTTCCACACCAAAATCAAAGATTACTGAAAAATTCAAATTTAATTTTCTTGGTTTGAATGTTAACCAGTTGTCATGAGAAGAATGTGACAAAAAAAGAAACAATAAAACTATTTCACATTTCTTTGGGGCCAGATAAAATGGTAACAAGGGCCAGATTTGGCCAGCAGACCTYGAGTTTGACACATGTTCTAAAACATGAAGTTTTAAACTCATTTTCTTTTTCCCACGTCAGGTCTCAAACTTACAAAAAACATTAAAGGCCAGTGCTGCGTCTCCATCATCGGGCCCCGCCCCTGCCGGAGCCGCATCCAATCAGGACGCGGATCAGCCCGCTGAACCACGAGACCCCGCCTCCTCTCAGGAACCACGACAACCAGGCAAAAAAGCTTCAAAGGTGAAAGGGTGAGTTCAGTCCCGTCACCTTTTCAGGCAGCCCAATATTTCAGAAGCACTCTGGGAAAGTTGCCACCTTGTTTTCTTTTTTTTTTTTTTTTAATTAACAGGCAATTTGAATGGAAATTGCTTTGTGTTTTCAAGGCTAAAATTGTCACAAACTATTACATGTGTGGCCGTTTAGAATAAATGACTGAACTGAAGGTTTATTCAAAACTCTCCCTGCAGGTGTTCTCTTCAAAATGAAGGTTGTGCTTAGTTTTATTTTTTATTTATCAAGAAAAAAATGTTCATTACTACGAGTAAAAACAAAAAGCTGCAAATAGAAGCTTTTTACTCCGTTAATTATCTCTTGTTGCCATTTTTCATTTTGTTCTATAAAACGTTTGTGTTTTGGAAAGTCTTTTTGTAAAAAAAAAAAAAGAAGAATTTCCCTTTCTTACATTTGCACAATAAAGACTGTTTCAAACTTTAAATTAAAGCCATTAGTCCGGTGTTTTTGTAGAGACAGAAGTTAATACCCAGGAGAAACGCCGTGTTTGTGTTTCTTCAATAAACAGTATGAAGTGAGCTGCTGGTTAAAGTGTTTTTGTCGGTCTTTGCGAAAGTGTGTCTGCATGAAGTAGTTTCATTATGAGATACACATCAGTGTTGCGTAGCTGTACTATAACCCCGCTTAATAGATACTTTCTTCTGTTCGGCTTCCATCCGGCCCTTATTTCCGATGGCTAATTTCACATCTCCTGAAATGTAAAATGTCACTGGATACATGTTCGCCCTGCGTGCTCACTTCCTGAAAGAACCGTTTCCTCTCTCCGGTGATGAGCAGAGACGGTTCAAGTGTTTGCTGTTTATGTTTTGTTTTTTTTTCCTGCTGAACAGAAAGCAGTGATTATTTTCTGGCTGCTTGTCATGATTGATGAAGCGTGGAGCCCCATAATTTTCATCATTCAGCGCCGCGCTTCATTCAAATGAAGAATCTCTCTCAGTGTTTTTCACATCCAAATTAATGATAGCTTAACCTCAATCCTCAAAATAAGTTCTGACACAATTCGCTTGTAAAGCTATTTAAAGGATGGGTTTGATAACAGAGCGATTATATTTAGAAACCAGAATTTCCTTTTTAATTTACAGAAATAGAAAATCCAGTCAGATCAGCTCAAATGTAAGAGTGTTAAAGGGGACATATCACGCAAAATCCACTTTTTTAGCAGTTTAAATACATTTTGTGTACGTGGAGTCTTTAGGAGTGCAGAAAAGTTGAATTTAGTCTCTGCACGTTGGTCTTCATTCTTCTCTGGTTCGGACGTATAGGGCTGATGTACATATCCTCTGTTGACATCTTTTATTAATGTGTAAACAAAAAGTTTATGTGCCGCTATATAGTCATATCTCTATCAAACTACAGAAATGGCCGAATGGTGTGGAGTGGACAATGGCTGTGTCTCAGTTCAGGAGCTGCGTCTGCATTTGTTGGTGACTTGTGTCACTGCCCCTTCTGAAGGCTGTCCCAATTCGTAGGCTCCTTCTCATGCAGCCAACGAATGCAGCCCACAAAACCCCGAAAATGAAGGCTGCATCTAAGTATCCTATCCAGCCAAGGATATCCCAGGATTCATTGCGCCGTCAGCAAACTAAACAAAGACAAAGGTGGCAAAATTTTTCTTTTTGTTGTTTTTTTTTTATGCTGCAATAAGATGTTAGATAAAATGCAACTACAAGTACAGATACTGGAGCTAAACCCAAATTATTAATATTTATTTACATATAACATGTTTAACTGTGAAGTTATTCCTCCAGTGAAGAGACGTGAGTAGATGTCCCAACGCATTTTGTCTGACAGCACGTGATATAAAACGTGTCACTATGATAGTTCATGGCAGTTCATGGTCATGCAAACATGCGTAATCAAAGATTAGACAGTCTCATTTCACAGCAGTTTTATGCAGCCTACCAGGAATGCTTACCCCTAATTTACATTACATGTGTTACGGCTGCGCTCCGCTCCACTGCGCAGGTCGCAGCTGTATGTTTCAAGTCCAGTTTACACTACCTCCGCTCTGCTCCAGTCCGACACACGTGCAGGAAGCAGATCGCGTGATAAATTCAGTGATAAGTGTGGAAGTCACAGCAAAAAATAATTAATTCTGTGAAAGACRAACTCCAAACACAGCTGAAAACAACGATATAAAGGCTTTTGGTATCTATGTTGAAACTGTCTCGCTGTCGTCTTTCTGAAACGTCTGATTTCAAAATAAAATCCACATGTATCGTATGTGTACACATAGCTTCATGCTACGTTTCCATCTGCAGACCAAACAGAACGATACATTCTGACAGCATTTGTGTAGAAATATATCCATATATTTATTAATATAGCCGCAATTTYGACATTATTCCGACAAATTATTCTGCCGAATAGTGTCTTATTTTGAAAATACCGATGTTGTGCTCATTTCTTTTCCTGTTGGTGCGACTTAATCTTTAAAAATTGACTCTGGCGCTGCTCCATCGTCCGGCAAAAATAGGATCTGTTTTAATTCTGACGGATCGCCGTCCGCTCACCACCGCAGCCAGTGTAAACACTCTCATTGATTATAATGGGTGCGTATTTGCTGCGGAGTTTGGACCGGAGTGGAGACGGAACGCAAGTAATGTAAATTAGGGGTTAGAGTGTGGCCTCTGTGGGCCGCAGTCTAGGTAGGCTGCAGCTCCTGAATTGGGACACAGCTAATGATCATTGAAAGTGAGACCTGGAGGGGGGGCGGGGTCAGAAGTGCCTCATTTGCATGTAAAGAGACCGCACCAAAATGAGGGCCTGTGGAGCTACACTAACCAGGAATTCAGACCAAAACATTGCAGTTCCACTATATACAGACCCCAACTGAATGATTTAAATGTGAAAAAGGAGGATTTAAAAGCATGATATGTCCCCTTTAAATATGATGCGGGACACCTTTGCCTCCAGGTTGCATCAGTGATGTGTATGTGAATGTGTTTTGTTCCTTCAGTAAAGCATGCAAGAAAGTGAAGACGAAATTTAAATAAAGCACCAATTCAGTGTTTCCGTTGGCTGTGTTCCAAACAGGCTGCGAGGCAGTGGGAAGATCTGGTCCAAGTCCAACTGAGGACAAAAGGTTTAAAGACGCAAGGACGGCGGCACTTGTGGACGCTGGCTAATTTACGGACACATTGGCATGTTGACGGACAGACAGTTTAAAACAACGTGACCACTCTTACGGACCACCCTCCTCACTTACACTTCTGCAGTAACAACCACAAAGCTTCACTGGGACTTCAATCACCTGATCTTAACCTTTTATGGATTCAGAAACACACACACACATACACACCTGGCTGATGGAGAAAATACGTGACTTTTTCCTCTTGCAGCTGTGAAAAGCCAGACGGGCAGAACTGTGGATGTAAATACACGGAGCACTTGTTAAGCTTGAGGACACAATAGTCTGCAGCAGGAGTCAGTTGCCTTTGACCAGAAACAAAATTAGTATAATCAAGGCATTGGTTTGTGTGTATCTCTGTTCTTTTGGTTTAGCTGAATTCTGTGTTGCTTTGTTGTTTACTTTTTGTTTTGTTTTACTCTCTCTCTCTAAAGTGGAGCCTTGTATAAAATGAGAATATAAATTGTTGGAAAAATAAAAACAAAACAACAAAAAGAAGCAGTGTGCTCATCTTGACTGCCTTATTAATGAAGGTACGTGACAAACCTTACCTCTTAGTTGACGTGAKCATTCCACAGGTTTATGTTTTAGTATTGTAGTCAAGAACACCTAGCCTGAGACCTAATTAAGACCAAGACTTTTAGGGGTTCACACCAAGTTGAAACCAAGACCAGGAAAAAAAAAAACTAGTGCCCTAAAACATAACAGTATACTGTACACAGGTAGTTAACTTAATCTATATATTTAATATCGACTAAATCTCCTGATGTGAGGGTTGGGTAAAGAATATAGCTTCAGAGGCAAATTGCTAACTTTAGCTAATTAGCTTTGCTAACAACGCTTTCCTTTCTTTGCTTCCTTTCTAAGTGACGATAAAAGTTCCCCACCGTCTCTGAAAGTAAAGCACTGCAGAATGAACAATTTGCTGTATGCTGTCTCCTGGTTGTTGTGTGGCAAACATAATATTCATGATTTATGTAGGCAAATTGTATTACTGAACACTTTGCAGACATCTCCCACTTCCAGACAACCACTGCTCACTTTCTTGGCATGTGAGAGTGAAAGTGGGTGAGGTTGGGTGACAAAAGTACATAATTAGCAATGAGTCACGCTTGGATTTGAATCATTACGTTTTATATCGATTGAAAGGATGTTAACAAATAAAATGAACAATATTCTGGCAGTTTAGTGGTATTTCCACAGTTTTGGTCTTGAAATCAAATGCTGAGTTCTTCTGTCCAAGATCGRGATGAGACAAAGTACAAATGCAGTCAAGTCTGAGACAAGACAGAGACCAAAAAGGTTTCAAGTACTACAACACTGGTATGTTTCACAGCAAACATAGAATTTTCAGAACCCCACACAATTAAAAAATAAATAAATAAAAAAATTTAAGACCCTATATTTCCAATGCATGATGGTTTTGGATTATTCATTTTGGTTCTTAATTAATAAATAATGAATATTGGTAGCCAATGTGAAGATCATGCCATTTCTTACTTCTTAAAATTGTATTTAATTCTCTCAAGAAATAAAAAAGTTAGGCCCGTTTGTTGCAGAATCATAAAAGGTTTTTTGGGTTTTCACTGTTAAACCAGTAGAAAAAGTAAGAGCTTTTTTTTCTATACCAAAATGGCCATAATTTCCTTATCAGCAATCTAGACAATGCTGGTTTCAATCTCGAAGCTCCGCCCATTACTCTTGTAAAAAGAACAATTCATGGACTTTTATTTTATTTTGTCTAATTCTTAATTAGTGTCATGGCCACTTCTTTTATTAAACGCACTTCAGAGTGCATCTCCGGAGGCTGCGCTACTAAATGTTAACTTGCAGAAGGGGGGTCTGCCCGTTAGGAGGTCAAGTCATTAATTAGGGCACGTCCCCAAAGAGATTAATGCTTTATAGAGCCGAGGCTTTCCCTGTGCACGAACAGCTCGACGAGGCTCGCATACTCGTGCAGCGAGGTAGCATTTGTATTTCACACGGGTCTGTTTTTTGCCCTGAGCTTCTATTTCAGTGCCAGAATTGCCTGCCACTCTTCCATGTACCTCCATTACTCTCAAAATTGCCTTCATCGTGCTCGGCCTTGTCCATTTCTCACTCCTCAGATTCTGTTTCCTCTAATTTCTCCACTTCCTTCCTTTCTGACATTAATGGTGGCAATTAGATGACCAGCGGTGATAGTGACAAGCAAGCAGACAGGAAAATTATCCTGTTCCACTTAACCCCGCATCTTTCTGAATCCCCTCTCGTTGCCTCTAACATTCCTCCTCACCTCCATAAATAGAGGTGTTAATTTCAGTCAGCCTGCAGTTTCATTTTTTTTCACCTTTTTTTTTTTGACACAATCGAAGCCTTGACTTGAAGCAGCTGTATGCCTCTCAAAGTGTGAGTGAACAATGGGGACTTGTTGAAGAATCACTCGTGACCACCTGACCTCTGCATCAGGGCTGGCCCTTGGCAAGATGTCAGGTGGTGCCCCCGCTTCTGCAGTTTTCTAAATCTCACTGCCAATTTACATAGTCACATWCCAAATTAAATAATTTACTTTGATATTATATTTTATCTTTGGAAACCAGGTTGTCCAATTAAATAGTTAACAATATAATTAAACTTGCCAACATTTGCTGACAGCAATGAGGAACACCTTTTCATGTTAACCAGCAGCTGTGGAGTGAAGCAGTTCTGGGGGGCTCCAGGGGTATACTCCCCTGGGAAATTTTGTAAAAGGTTCACTCAAATTTGAAGATATTTTACTAAACTCTTGGGATTAATAATGGCATAGAATCATTTTGATGAAAATAGAACACTGAAAACCAGACTTTACTGAAACTTCCATTGTCCTGGTATTGTTTTCTATTTACACACTGAGCCCCGATAGTTTTGACTGAAACATCCTCTGCACCATATAACACCTCATGCAGTAACAAAACAGCTGAGAAACCCACAGAACAAGTTACCTGACTATCCTACAGGCTGCACACTGATATAAAGTTATAAAATATTTATTTTCGTCCCCCATTTGTGGCACCTCCTAGATGGATAGCATTTGCTTACACTGCCTAGGCCTTGGGCCAGCTGCATTTACGAGTTCACACCCTACTTCTGTGTTTTTCTGTTGTGGTTACAGACAGCCGCCATGTGTCATACAGCCATTAAAACCTCCTCGTGGAACTCGGCCAATCAATTATCCCGATTGATCAGTAAAATGCCCAGAAGAGACGGGAAAACACGAGCTGCACTTCCAGCTGGTGGAAGAACCTTCAAACGCTGGAGTGGCATTTCTCTCCTTGTGCCCTGCCTTGATTTTATTGACATTAGTTTGAAAAACTATACACGGGAGGAAACTCTTGCTGAGCGTCCTGTTAATCTTTCCAAGGCGAGAGGAATCCATACGAGGTGGAAGGAGATAAGCAAACGGCTTCAGACACAAGCAGCCGCATTATTCTTCTCTCCTTTTCAGCTTTCCGCTCGGYGGTGAAAACATGATTGGCACATGCGGGACTTTTTAATGCCAAGTCTGTGGTTTAAAAATCAATGCGATGCAGTGGACTGAATGTTTCACATCAGGGAGAGACACAGATTAGGATACACGGGTATCTATTAAAATGCACAGTGTAAGCTTTATCCTTCCCATAAAGCATTGCGGATTGCACCGCTCCCAAGGGGAATGCATTCAACACGCTGAAATAAACAGACAAAAAGCACAAAAAAGAAAAAAAAAAAAGCATCAGCATCGAGTCCTTTATTTTAGTTCCATGGTACAGAAAAGACCACATTTCTACAGGAATGCTACTAAAAATCACAAGACTGGAGAGCTGAAGGGTCGAAGCTACCATGATGCCACCAGCACTATGTCAGAATGGTTCAGTGGATGGGTAGTTCATGTCACAAAGCTGCTTAGAAAAGTTGCCAAAAATTGACATTTAGCTTTGAAAAGTTCTGTAATACAATACTCAGATAGGTAAAATAGCCGTTTTATAAATACTTGATTTGAAGCAGCTCTCTCAGAGTTTTTCTACATGCAAACTGACAAGAAACGCATGAGGCAACTCTTTATGTGCAACTTTCCTTTGGTGCACCCAGGACAACTGATGAAGAGCTGTGATGGTTCTGTTTTCCAGATTGGTATACAACAACAACTAAAAGACAATCTCAGCGTTCATAGATATTTATTTCCCATGAAAACGTGGGAAAACGTCTTTTGCTGTGTACCATCCAACAACTGGGAAAGAAAAAACAAAACAGATTTTCAGTTTGTTCTAACCATTTACGTTCTGAATATTTTATCTCCAGCCCCTGGAAGTGCTCTCTGCTCGAGTCCAGCAGGAACGAAGCGTGCTTGCAAAGGTTCCACAAGGAGGTGAGCGTCAGCCAGATAATTAAGAGAACAAATCGGGAACAAAAACACAGGAAAACAAAACAAAAGAAAACGAGTCCTGTGCATCTGCAGAGGAATGGAGCCACACTATTTGCATTCCGGGCGCCCAAAGCAGGGGGGGAATAAACATCAGTTTTTGGAGCGTGACGTGTTAAACACATTGCCTGTTGGCTACAGCCACGCCAAACGGCTTTTGTGAAATATTCTGTTGGATGTTAGGAGATGCCGAGAATGGCTTTTTAACCAATTACAAGCCCGCTGGAGTGAGCTGAGTTTTAGTGCCATTTGATGAAAGGAGCAGCACTGGATTTTTAAAAAAAAAAATTCACGAATGAGCTGCTGAGTCACTGGTTGTGGAAGCACAGGTGAGGCAAGGTAGGGCATCTCGGGGGTAACAGAATCCTGCATGGCTGCTGAACTGCTTACTCGTGAGTTAGTCATGGTGGGTTGAAGCTGCTGGGTAGCCTGGCGGAGCTCGGGGCCGTAGAGAGGGTGGAGAACAGGGTCACAGTGATGCACATTAGAAAAAAAAAAAAGAAATTTACTCCAGAGGAGCGGAGAGATGAGCTGGGATTTTCGTTTCTTAGGCCTCAGGGAAGCTGTGAAGTTTTTGCGATGGCTGGATACCTGGGTTCCCTGAATTTGTTTCACAGTTGGAGAGAAAATAAAAAGAGCTCTGCGGGCGCACCCTCTGGTCGTGTTGTTTCTCCTCAGGCCTCGTAGAAACGTTCACCACGTGGAAAACAAACCTCACAGGTTCACAACTGGGATCCTGACACAGCAAGAGACAGAGAAGAAGTGTGAGTAGAAAAAATAAAGACGAAGCAGGAAGGTGGGATAGTTTTTCTTTTTTTTTTAGGTTTGGGAGCCCTGATGGTGGGAGAAGAGGAGGAGATGAAGAACAAAAGCCTGAAGCTGGTGGAGATGTTAACGGAAAGCTGGATCACAGGGGACGGAGGGATGGGAGGAAGAGGACGAAAAGCCGATGGGTGGAGGAAGTGAGAAGCAGCACTAGAGAGCCGCTCTATAATTATCCTGATTGAGATTAACTTAAAATACCCTTGAATAAAAGCATCATTTCATGGATGGAGGATAGGCGTCTTTTCATGGGCCCACGATGACTCATCTGGAGAGGGGGGGCTTTAAAACACTGATACATCTTAGAGCTGCTCCAGCACTCCAGGCCTGAATATTCTACAGAGAATAGCGTTACTGCCCAATTATACTCCATGCACATCCATTGCAGCACATGCAGAGTAATAAGAGTACCCGCACACAGACAGACACGCACAGAGGCAAACTTGGATCCAGAGACTCACACATGGAGCCAGACACACAAACACTCAAGACAGTGCAGAGCTGTTGAGGCGACTCATTACCTCTCCCTGTCGGTGAAGGAGGAGGAGGTGCTGTGCAGCGTCTGCCTGCTGTCCTCCGAAGCAAGGGAACGGGGGAGAGCGAGGGAGAGGGGGGGGCCCACGCCACGGGAAAGCGGGGGCGGATGCTGCGAACAGCTGCGATCGTAACTGGGAGAGAGAAAAGAAAGGATAGTAAGACGAATGGATGGAAGGGGGTCGGATGTGAGGAAGAGGAGGAGAGAAAGAGGGGAGAGTTGAAGATTTCAAAACAGAAGGATGAGGAGCAGAGCAGATTAGTGGGTAAATTACGAGAGAGAAAGAAAGTTTGAGGCAAACATAAATAAAGGTCTTATTGAGGGCAGGCATACAGAGAGCTACGGCAGGACATTTTAGCATTAAATTGGCTTCACCACTCTTTCATTTCAGGTATCTGAAGTYGGTTTATGTCATATTAGTTAAGTAAGATATCTCTAGTTATATTTTACTAATCAAAGCACCTGTTTGAGATATCTCTAATTACATTCTCAATAGAATAAATGTCAGATTTACCATTAAGTTGTACAGAGGCTCCAATTCAATATCTAAAGGAATTCTGAATACAAAAAATACAGTTCTTGATAYCTCTAAGTTAGTTTTTAATAGTCATTATTTGCTCACTTTTTATTCCAACTTGTCAAAATTCTAAAAATATCTTAAATTGTCATTCAAGATATCTTAAATGTATTTTTAATTTCACATAAGATTTGACTAGTACAAATTTAATTGCAGATGTTTTGAATGCAAACAATAAGGCAAAACTAACTAAGATATCTATAACTGTAATTATGACTTATGATTTCCTTTTAAGATAATCTCCCAAGTAATTTGCGATATCCTGAACGTGCTTTCATCTAGACTGCTTTTTATCCTTGAATTAACATTCTGTCTAATCAAAACGTCACAGATTTACGTATCATTTGGGCGGAAAGTTTATTTTAGCCTTACCTTAATTTGTAATTTAGTAGTAGGTCAAGTCAGTCAAAATTTTCATATTTTTAACAATTTTTAGCGCTGCAGCTCGTGCTCGACAGGAATTAAGAAACACGGATAATTTATTGTACAAAGTTTTGCAGGCAGCTGTTAGGACAGCTCAGTGACAGCAGGACTGGTCATAATTACGTTTGAGATATCTTGAATTATTCGTCTGACTAGTCAGAATTTTTTTTCAATCCTAAAAACAAAATTTATGTACAGTGATAAAAAATACAAAGTAAATCATGCCCTGAATAAAAAAGGTGCAGAGTGACGAAAAAAAACAAAAAAAAAAAAACTCAAACTGGAACAATCTCCAATTTAAAAAAAGTCATGTATCCTTATCTTGTTTTAAATGCAGGTATGTTAAATTACCATTAAGGAGGAACGTCAAAATGTTGTTGTTTTTAGTCGAAACACATTTTTAGATTTCTAGAATATAATTATAGATAGTCAGACGAAGCCAAATTTATGTTAAAATGGCCTGCCATATAAGAGCATCAGAAACATTCCCCCGCCACTGAAAAAGAATCCACGCCTGCTCATTAAAACGCTGCGAGTGGTGTGAAGGAGGCAGCGCTGTGGGATCAGAGTAGGGGGGAGTAGGGGTCAGAAAGATGCAACAAGGTGAAGAAATAAACAGAGGGCTGACGTACCACCRTGGTGACCAGGCGGTGCTTTCACTGAGGAGAGTGACTTATTACAAAGGAGCAGTGAAGCACCACAGGCCCAGGCTCTTAAGGACACTTCGACACACAACAAAAGCTGTTCTCGGGGGCCATAAAAGCCACCCTGAACCCTCATCTGTCCTCAGTGACACCTRTCCTCTCCCCGGCTGACGCTTACTCTCACCATCGCACACAAACAGCATCACAAACATCCACATGGACCATTTCAGGCCTGAGAACATATGCTTCTCTTCTATAACCATAATGAACTGGACTGTGGCCAATTTCCACTATAGGCTATCATTTCAGTCTATCTGCACCCCCCCTCCTCCTCATTCACTCCTCGGCTCTTTTATCCATCTAACACATGGTGTTATTTACACATTTATGACACTGAAGCACAAGCCAGTCTATAGAGAGAGAGAGGGCTCTGCTGCCATGTCTGCACTACCAAGCCTCCCAATTCTCTCTGTTGTAACGTGGTTTTTTTTTTTTTCCTCCTCTGTCATCTTCCACGACACTGCAGGGCCTCGTGAGAAAAAGTTATCAAAACAACACTGAGGCCAATGTCAGGAGCAGAAAGAAAAGAGGACTTATCATGTATTCGCTGGCAGCAAGCTAGAAGATTATCTGTGAATCTTCAGTCGAACTGGTGGTTCTGGGACAGACTGAGAGCACTGTGGCAGATAAGAGACTGTGTAAAGACAGACAGTGTTAAAATAAAAGAGAACACAGGTATCTCAGACGAGAGGAATAAAAAAATGTAAAAGAAAATCTCTGGGAGGCAAAAGGAAAAGGAGACGAGAAAAAAAAACACTAAAAGATTAAGAGAGAGTATAAAAAAGGGAAAAATTATCAGGCAATGAAATGTAAAATTAGGACCCAGGAGCCTTCAGGGGGTTAAGACGCTCGGATAAGAGGAAGGAGGAGAGAGCGAAAAGTGTAAATGTGAGGAGTGGCTGTGAGGTGAGGGAGCAGAGGGTTCCCGGTGGTCAAATAAACCGGCTGTTATTGGTTTGATCAGCAAAGCGTGTGAGTGCTCCACTATATCACAAAGATGACTCCCCAACTTCCATCTAATGGCCACGTGTTTGTGGGATTATCCTTCCTGCTGTGACAAACGTAACGTACAGATCACCCACCCTGTGTTCATCACAGTGTTTACACGCTTTGAGAGGGCTTATAGCAGGTGGGCTGTTGACGAAAACTCACTCTAATGCTCAAGCTTGTAAAGCACCCCCTCCCCCCACTCCTAATGATTATGGCAAATGTTTAATCATTGCAACACTAATGGCTCTAAATGACACATCTGTGCCAACTGTGACTTTCAGGAACGCAAGTGTTGTTAATAAAGTCATTAGTAAGCAATTACTCAGCTTTCACTTGAGGGGGGGACCACACAAAATCATTACGTAACCATCGGTGACGGACACACAAACAAACAAGACCAATACAAATCCATCATCCTCCCTAATGATCCTTATTGATCCCAACACATGTAGCCTCAGTCATTTATCTGGAACTAAAATGCACCAAATTTCTCTCAGGAAGCCAAGCAGATCTCCTAATTCTTGATGACTCAGACCCTTTAAACCAGGAGTCTTCAATGTTTTTTTAGTTGGGCAATCTGAAGGTGGAGACCCACCGTGCTGCCAATCAGGTTACAACAAAGAAACAACCTAACAAACAGGAATTTCCTGACTTTTTTTGATAGATTATATATAAATATATATTGTGTATACTGACATTAGTTCTCTATTGTCATTAGGAGATGCAAGGTTGTAGAAATATTGCAAAAATTACAGTAATAGGCTCTCAGCCAATTTCTGTGAGTCTGACAAAGTGAACAGGACCTGCCCAGTATGGATAGGGTGGGTCCTTCTCTTTGTGTGGGGAACCCATGGAGGGTCAGGCTGTGAATGAAGCAGAGTTCAGCTGGTGTGCTCACTCAATGTGTGCATTTCTGACTGAAATACATTAGTTTATGCCTCCAGTTATCGATTTGCTATATGTTGGATTCATGTTGAGTGTTTGAGGACATAACTATGAAATAAAAAAGCAAAAGTCTAACCAAAAGATTCAAGACCACCCCCCGCCCCCCAAAGGGTTGCAACCCCATCGTTGAAGACCTCTGCCTGTGAATACATCACCTTCAAATGCAAAAAGTCAAAAGAAAATATCTTTCTATTTAAGAAACTTAAATTTTATTTTTTTTAACTTGCACTTGAAAGTGAAACAGGAAGTGACATCAAACGGAAATTTTTTAAAAATAGGAAATCCCTGGTCTTTGTTTATTAAAACAAAATTATTTGAACTTTAACTCTTCATCTCCATAATAGTGACAAAATAATCTAAAGAAACATCAGATTATTCTCTACAGTCTGGGTCGTTAGCTATTATCAATCACATGCAGACATTCCCCTTTAGCATAACTTCCTGTTACTTGTGATACATGTGAATATCTCAACAACTGTTCAACTCAGCAGTGTGAACATTTTTTGCAACATTTTACCAATGTTATCTTTTCAAAAATGCATTTATATTTATTACCAAAATGGATGTCTCAGGCACTTCAAACTGAACTCACATTATAATCACTCTCCCTCCCAAGGGGCTGGGGTCTTTGTGAATCTGGTCCACATGCAAGATGTTTCATTTTATCACAAAAGCTTGAATGCTTTTTTTTAATCCAAATACTACTGAAAACCAAACTATGTTCACTTCGACTGGTTCATCCAAGAATAATGAATCCATTTGAGTCATTTTTTTATTAATGATGTGCAATTATGACTATAATTAACAAGATAAAAGCTTGGGAAATGTTATCCTATTTTAAAATAGCACAGTTATGTTTTATTCATTTCATAACTCCCAAAGTTTATCTTCTATCTCCTCAGCAGAGCACTAATCTCCACATTGGGAACTAACTGTGTAAGTGACCTCAATACATCCTTGCTTTAATGGAAATTGCCATTATTATCAGAAAGGTCTATAAAATAAATTTCATATCATGTGCTTCAATTATCCTCCCCCATTTTTTTTCAGTACTCAAGCTCATGCTGATCTGATTTTGCCCCCCCCCCCCCCCCCCCCCCCCCGAGGTGTTTTTATCCAGAGCAGCAGTTAACACCGAGCTGCTGCGGGACAGGTGTCCAGCCCTCACAGGTAGACTCGGCTGATCGGTCGTTACTCTGCAAAAACCCCGACGCTTTATTCACGTGTTCATCTAGAAGAGTTTGAAGTGGTTCAGACTCCTACCAGAGTTTGGCCGTGATGACGACGGCTGTCAGGATGAGCAGAGAGGAGATGGTCACGGTGACGTAGAACTGAGGGTCGACTGTAACACACACACACACACACACACACACACACACACGTTTGATTACTCAACTCTGTCATTGTATTCAGAACAACAGGAGAACAATCAATGAAGCCAGCTGAGACATGAAATTAGATGTGCAGGATTTTGGCCTCCAACTCCAACACCAATCCACTGAAGGCGTTTTTTTATTTTTTTATTTTACAGTTTTGACATCAGCCAAATTCTCCCCGAGTGATGAGAACTTTATTAGGCATCCCCCCGCCGCTGACACAGCCGGCTGCACACACGAGGGTGTCAGCCCTCACCCCAGTGACAGCTCATTCCCTGGAGGGCTCCTGGTGAGTGTGTGCTCACTCAAGGACCACCTTTATTTAGAAACCCTTCATGCGGATCTCCCGGCGCCCACCTTCCTCCGGCTCCGTCTCCTCCGCCTCCGTCCCTCCGGCCTCCGCTCCCTCCTGGTTTCTGGACTCCAGCGGCGCCTTCTCCTGGGGCGAGGCGCTAGAGTCCAGGTAGAGCCAGTCCTCGGAGGTGGCAGCGGCGCCGCTGACCTCCTGCTGGTTCCCGTGGCTGTGCAGGTGTTCGGTCTCCTGGCTGGAGAGGAAGCGGTGGTAGGTCTCGTCCTCCAGCGGCTGCGTGGGACCCCACACCACCGCCCACAGAGGGGTGGGCGTGACCTGGGAGGTGACGGACAGCTGGACCGGCAGGGCGTCCACCTGCTCTCCGCCCTCGCCATCGTCGCGGTTACAGACGGAGGGCTGCGAGACCAGAGCGACCAGGAGGAGGGTGACGAAGGCAATGAGTCGTGCGACAGGAGAGATGGAGCTTTAAAAAGAAAGAAAAAAGAATGAGAGGGGCAGAAGTGACAGAGGAGTTATCAGAGAAAACCTCTTGCCCAGAGGCACAACCTCAGCAGCTCAGACATTGATTCTCATGCCAGCCATCAATCAGAATGACATTTTATGCATCTGCATCCCATCCTCAGAAACTATCCATCTTACCATCTCTCCATCGCTTCACTCTGTTCACTGAGACTCCTCTTCTCCGATCATCTCTGTAACATAAGAGAGAAAGAAGGAAAAACAGAGGGGAGGTTCTGCCTTTTTTCCCCTCTTCATCTGTTTTACCACAGTTGTAAACACAGAAACCAGCAGGATTAACAGCTCAAAGCAAACTTTCTTTCTCTCTCTCTTTTTTTTTTTAAATATTAAAAAAGGAATCGTAAAAAGGCTCCTCAGGGAAGCTGAATTTAACRCTCCGTTATGAGCCACATGTTTCAGAACGAACATCTGCAAAAACCTCCCAAAAAAGTGTCTGCGCTCACTTCCCAGGTTTACAGAGCACACACCTGAGAGGAGCGCATTAATCATCGTTACGAGCATCATGCACGAAAAGCAGCACTCAGCAAGGCACTTTGAGCGAGGGAGAGAGACCCCCCCCACCACCACCACCATCAACGCCACAGAAATGTCGCTCGGAGAGCAGCGTGCGCGCCGGGAGCCGGACACATATCAGTTATCATGCTTACCTCTGGCAGCGGAGAGAGGGAATGAGCGAGGGAGACGGGAGAGGAGCGAGCAGAGATACAGAAAGCAAGTGAGAGAGGAGAGAGAAAAAAAAGCATCGGTTGCCGTAGCGACTGAGGCATGTAGAGTCTGCGAGTACGAGTGGGGAGAGAGAACGATGTAGAGGGGGGCAACAGACTGTAGGAAAGAGATTTAAATGCTAATTATGTTTTTTTTTCTCTTAAATGGGTTCAATTAAACGGACACAGGAGGAGAAATGAATTTGATGAAGCAAATAGAAAATGATACGAAGGACGACATTAATGAGACGGTTTTAGAGGTGAGAGGTTAAGAGAGAGGACTCTGTGATGTTTATGAAGGCGAACAAGGACACCCCAGAGACAACCAGACAGCAGAGTGGAGGAGAAAAAAAAGGAGAAGGAAGAAGATTTAATTCTCGCTCGTTTAATCAGGTTACTCCGGCAGAGCGAGGGGACGAACTGGTGTGAAGAAGAGGAAGGGTCACGGAGTCGTGAGAGGAAGAAAAAAAGACGAGATGCAAATGTGAAGTCACAGTTTGACTGCTTTATTGAATGTGAAAATATTTACAAAGAAAACGTACTGCCTCTCACAAACACCGGCACCAACAGTCTCTGTCCATACGCTCCTCCACACCTCCCAGACTAACACTCAGTCACTTCACCCTCCTCCTCATGGCTGCAGGCCGCGGAGCAGGAGAGACCGCCGCTCACTGAAGAACGCACCGCAACCACGAGCCGGACCCCCCGTCCTCCGCGCCCAGGTCGTCTCCTTCGTCTAGATTATCCTCATCGTCTAAAATCACACGAGACAAAAAGGGATTTTCCACAGGGATTAGTTACGATGCTCGTCTCATTTCAAATATCACTCATTAAAAATTTGTGTCGTCAGTCAAAACAGAAATGAAGTGTGAAGCTGAGAACAGTTTGACTGTACCGTCTGTCTCCTCGTCATCCTCAGTGTCCCCCTCTGACTCCAGGAGACACGAGTCTATACGGCTGTCTCTCCTCACGGTGACGTCGCCTCTGAAACGTTTAATTCATTAATTCAACCATCAACACAACTTTAACCTCAGATGACCCCAGTGGAGTTAATGAATTAAACTTTTTTTTTTTAAATCAGCGGTGCTGATGAGCTTTATTATTCCCACCTCTGCTTCCCAGAACTGGGGAGCTGCTCCCAGACGATGAGGTCTCGACCTCCAGTGACCCAGCGGTGGTCTCCGCTCCCGGTGGTCCACGCTGCGAAGCAGAGGATTCTGGGAGCGTTCGGCCAGGTCAGAGAGGCCAGATAYCGACACCGAGGCAGAGAGAACACTGCAGAGAGGAGAGAGACGTTAAAAAGGATCACAGGTCAGCAGAGAAACGGGAGCTAAACTGTTTTGAAAGAGGGGGCACAGGGGTGCTTTTTAGGGTTCACATTCAAATACAGAAAAGCTGCCCTAGCTAACTTAAAAAAAACTATAATTCAGCCATTTTAAGACTTATTGACATGAAATTTTTTGTGGAGTAGCTAAGAATGATCACATGAYGATTGTTGATGCTAATCYCAAACCAAGCTAACCGCTACTGCTAATTTTAAAAAGGGCTACAACTCAAACATTTGTACACATATGCAGCTAAAAAATGTATGTAGTACAGAARTATCAGAGAACAATCTTTAACAAAGTCTAAATGCAAATACAAAACCCCAGATCCCACTCACWTGTCAGTGACTTGKGGGSTGGCCAACCAGGTGCCAGAGGTGGCACTTGTAGTCAAAGAGATGTACCATGTTTATCTGCATAAAAAGTACCAGYAASTTTGATGGTACCCCATTAAAGTACRTCCCGTACAGGTATAAAAAACCCATTTCTTACWAAATTTCTCCYGGACACAAAGTCAGAATTCAAGATTAATTCTAAAAATCAAATGGCTTTGACTATGTCTATATAATATCTGAMCATAATAGCCACATCTTTTGCTTAACATCTGTTTTTTTGGTACCAAAATGTTACAAACTGATTGCTTAACTAAATCCAGGTAAYTAATATTGAACTTATGAAGCCTTTTACAGCTGACATCCACAAAAAGGGCCAAAAAGTGTCAAAATTTTAGCTTATTTTGAAAATTTGGTCATGCTCTTTCCCCAACTGTTCTGTCAGTTTTTCCTAAACTGGCACCAAACTGCACCAAAAATATCTTCAGAGACTCTACTAATCAAAACATATAAGATGCACAATGTCATCTTTTTTTTCATTTTAGTAGCAAACAAATTATGCCAACCCTCTAAATTACTCATATATGTCAAATTTAACATATTGTACATATTATTGCCCTACTTCATATTTAAATCATACTTTAGTGTTAAAAAAGTATATTTGAAACCACTGGGTTGTTAATGTTAATTAAATCTMATCTATTCATCCATTATCTTTCGTTTTATCCAAAGTCAGGTCAGATCAGCAGCTTGACCTCTCTTTCCTCAGCCACCTCTTCCAGCTCTTATGGAAAGTTTTGTATTGCCATTCCGGCCACCCCTCAGGCTCCGCCCCGCGTGAAGAGAGTGACCCCTGGCTGCACGCAGTTTACTCACAATTAAGTGTGCTCTCTCCGTTCGCCAGGTCGTAGCTGGAGCCGATTAGGAGGCCTCCCGTCTGGTGAACACAATCTGTTACCCCGGCGACGCTGCTGTGATTGGTCACCCTGGATATTACCCCTGTGATAATTCAACAGATGTTCGGTGAAGGAATTATGCAGATTTCACAGACCTCTGCGCCCGGCCCAATCCGGAGCTCACCCGTCCTCCACTGAAGGATCTGGAGCCAGGCTCGACCGTAGGCCAGGAACACTCTGTCCCCCCGCGGGCTGAGCGTCAGGCGCCCCCCGCCCAGGCCCGTCACCTGGCTGCTCCAGTGGTGCAGCAGCCTCAGCGGGTCTCGATCCGAACACCGGTTCTCCCACACAGACACCCCTCCCTCGGCCGAGCCGCTGAACACCAGCGGACCCTGAGTCTGTGGGGGGCACGGGGGGAGACGTGGTCGTCATGGTGATTTCAGGTCCCACTGTGTTTGTGTTTAACCGGTACATGTGTGAGACTTGAAACTGCACGTATGTTTGTGTAAACAGAAATAAAAGTGCTGTGAGTGTTTCTCTGTAAATGGATTGTGTGCTTTGCATGATAAACAAAGAGGATGGAAAATAATGTGCGACGCTTTAATGCTTTAGGCACATTATGATGATTGCAAATTGGAAAAAAAAAACAAATGTGCATATGTAGTTCTGGGTTTCAGAATTCATAAAAGCCTTTTTTTTTGCTAATAAAAACAAACAGTGTGCTCTAGAATTGGATGAGCTTCACAGCTTACATCTCAGCAAAAATATCTTGATCCTTTTTTGAAACCAATAAATAAAAAAAAGCTTGAGCGAGGAAGAAAGTGTGGAAATGTGCCTATTTGATTTCTGCTAATTAAGAGTTATAAATATATTAGGGGCAGCTTCTGAAGCATATTTTTTGTGTCAGCCTTTAAAAATAGGCAGAAAAATAAAACAGCTTTTCAGTCAGTCTGCAGAGCGTGTTTGTGGTCAGAAGGGGGATGACCCACCCACCTGGATGGAGGTGACCGCTTCCTGATGAGCGTTGACTGACTGGCAGTTTTGGAAAGTGAGCCAGTTCCAGGCTTGAAGCTTCCCTCCATCTGCAGGGCGACAGAGTGCGAGGTTAACACAGGGCGACAGCCGACTGGCAGTTATTACTGTTGGTCACGGCTGACACACCTGAGCCTCCAGCTCGATAGCAACATGCTACGCTAATTCACTGGCAGATGATTCCAGTGTCAGACTCAGTGCAGATATTAGTCAGAAACACAAACTGGACTGAAATATTACACTTACACACACACACACACACACACACACACACACACACACAC